ACCATCATTTCTCTCTTGAACCTCATTCAACTCTGTAAGCAGTAGCTCTGTTGCTCTCCTAGATTTCCTCAACTCCTGTTCTGAAGAAGCCACAGCTAAATTCAAATCATTGCACAGTTTCGCAATTTTTTCCAACGTCTCCACTGGGTCACTGGTATCAATTACAACACCAAAATCAATGTCAGCTAAGGTGTTTAAAACTGAGGTCAGCAAATGTTCTCTCTCCTGCAAAAAGTGATCAGTTTCTGCCAAACGATTCTTCAAAAAGAAATTCTCGGATTTTAGGGCTTCTGCTCTTTCAGGGTAAGAGGACAACTCCCTGATCTTCTGTTCATACTCTGCAAGAGAATTTTCACGGTGGCTAATCTCAGATTTCAAGTGTTCCAGCTCGGTATTCATATTTTTAACATTTTGCTTAAGAGCATCCTGTTGTTGCACCAATGACTTGCCTTTTCTAACAGCAATATTTAACTTCTCTCTTAAAGAAACTGACTTTTGCTCTTCTTGATTGAGCAGTTCTTGCAGCTCCTCCCTTTTCTTGTCAAGTGCTTGAACATCATTGAGCAAAGATTGTTCCCTTTCCAAGTATCTGTCTCTCTCTTCCTTAAAGTGGATCAGGTCTTGCAATGCCTCCTCCAGCTGTTTCTTCAATGAAGCTACATCCATTTCTTCTGTAGGCAGAGTATCTCTGCTTCTTGCATCATCAGAAGCTGCATCAGATTCTTCATGGTGCTTATCAACTGCATCATGAAGCAGAGGATTAACTGATGACTTAAGGCTTGAGTATTTCTCTATAAGCTTATTCAGCAATCCTTCAAAGGACTCAAGAGAGCTGCTAACAGAAACCAAATCACTCAAGCCAGGATCCTGTAATGCAGCCCTCACCAAACCCTCCAATCTGCTAATTGTGCCTTCAATGCTGAGAAGATGTTCCTCGCCTTCTAGCTTCTCAGCCAATTTATCCCGCAAACCAGTTACTTCAACCTGCAGTCTTTCATTCTCCTGTTCAACATGGACCACTTTTGCTAAAAGCTCATCGTGATCAGAAATTAGAGCCTGCAACCTTTCAAAAAGACGCTCTCTGTCATGAACAACTGATTGAAGATCTGCCTGAAGATCAGATATTTTCTTCTGTGACTCTGCCAAACCAGCAGTTAGCGACCCACAACAATCTTCAACGTTATCAATCTTCCTTTGTAAAGAATCCCTTTCATGATTGGCCTCCAAAAGTGCACTTCCTAACCATTCAATCCTATTCTCAGGTTCCATGGATTGCAACTGTGAAGGCATATGGATTCTGTTCAAAAGTTCCTCCCACCTCTGGACTAAGTGGTTCCTTTCCATTAAGGATTGCTCCAGCATTTCATTTTGTTCAGCCAACCCATAAAATTTACTTTGAAGCTCCTCATATTGCCTTCTAAGTTCCTCCCCTGAATTC